TATAATTCTTGGCTGGCAGGTTTTTTTCCTTCAAGACTTTATATATGTCATCCCATTGCCTTCTTGCCTGCATGGTTTCTGCTGAGTAGTCCGAGCTTATTCTTATTGACTTTCCTTTGCAGACGACTTTTCGTTTATCCCTAACTGCTCTTAAAATTCACTATCTTTAGTTTTGGCAAGTTTGATTATAATATGTCTTGGTGACTGTCTTTTGGGATCTACCTTATGTAGGGTTCGATGAGCATCTTGGATAGATATCTTGTCGTCTCTCCAATATCAGGGAAGTTTTCTGCCAACAAAACTTCAACAATTCTCTCTGTATTTTCTGTTATCGCCCCCGTTCTGGTACTCCAATCACTCGTAGGTTATTCCTCTTGATAGAGTCCCACATAATTCTGAGGGTTTCTTCATTGTTTTTATCCTTTTTTTCTGATTCTTCCTCAAATACGTTGGTGTTAAGTGCTTTATCTTCAGTCTCAGTAATTCTGACTTCCATTGTCTCAATTCTGCTCCAATGACTTTCTATTGAGTTGTCTAATTGTGAAATTTTATTATTAATCTTCTGGATTTCTGATTGTTGTCTCTCTAGGGATTCTTGCAGCCTGTTAAATTTGTCATTATGCTCTTCTCTAATCTTTTTAATTTCCTCTATTGCGTGTTCTGTATTTTGTTTAATTTCCTTCCTAATTTCTTAAAGAGTTGTGTATAGTAATCTTTTGTATTCTACCTCTGGTAATTCCCAGAAGTTTTCCTCCTCTGGAAAATTTCTAGATTCTTTATTTTGGGAGAGTACTGAAGCCATCATGGATTGCCTTTTTATGTGATTTGATATTGACTGTTGTCTCCAAGCCATCAATAAGTTATTATTTTGATTTATTTTATGTTTGCTTACTGTGTCCTAGCTTCTTGTTTTGTTTTGATATGCCCAAATAGTCTGCTTGTGTGGGTTAGTTTTATTATTGGCACCTTTGAAGCTCTAATGTCCTGTCACCAGGTGGTTAGATCTGTTACTAGGTATGTGAGCTCAGGAGTCTGCCCACTCCTCCTATATGGATTCAGCTTAGGTGCCCAGGTAAATAGCCACCAAGTGTGTGGTGTAGGCTCTGAGAGGCATGGGTGATTGGCGTAGGCACAGGCATGTGGCTGCAGCAGGGGGACACACTCTGAGCAAGGCAGGGGGCTGACATCCACCCCCGAGTGTCCAGGAGGAAGGCCTGTCCCTGTTCCCTAGAGCATGTAGGTGGGTGGGTTTTGCAGCAGAGTATGGGCACCTAATGCTGTTGGCTGTAAGGACTGGGAGGCATCTCTTATTCATGGCCCCCTATCACAGGTGGCTAGGTGGCGTAGGTGGAGCCACCAGTCCTCAGGCCCCTGATGTGGGTAGGTGAAAACACTGCTTAATGGGCAGAGCAGTGTCAAATGTCACGAACCTGCCACTTCACAGCTGAAACAGTTGAAGTTAGAGTTCCAGAACATACCCTGTTGTACTGCGGTAATGAGGGCCTACACTGTTGCGATGGGCCCACGCAAGTCTATGCAGAGGGAAAGGCACTCAAATTCTGTGGATCACTTATGTCTGTGCCTAGGCAAAGGAGCTGTGCCTACCCTGGGCTCCTGGCTTAGAGGAGCCAGCAGTTTATTTTTTCCCCTGTTTGTTAATTTGTTCACTCTCCAAGGCAGGGAGAATGGCTCCAGGCATGTGACGGATCTTACTTCTGGCCCAGGGTACTCGGCAATTGCTGAAGCCAGTCTGGGACCCAGTGCAGAGCAAGGAGGGGGGAGGTAAATGAGAGAGAGGTTTTTCCCTAAGGGGGGTGTTTTTGATCTGTGCGGTAAGCCATACGCGAGTACTTATCTTTTGTGGAGGGCTGCTTCTCACTGGTTCTGTGTGGCCGTGTAGACTCTCTGGTGCTGGGTCTCTCCCAGTGTGGAAAACGTGCCTCCTGGGGCTGCTTGCCTGCCTCACCGCTCACTCCTGAGCTGATCAGGCCTGAAGGGCTCAGGCTCTCGCCAGGTCAGGTTTGGCAACTCCTCACTACTTCCGAACTGTCTCTCCCTCCCCCTGCCTCTCAGTCTGGTTCCTCAACTCTGCCTTTGATGTTCAGGGCTCCCAGATTGCCATATATAATTGAATCACTTGTTTTTTCAGGTCTTTGTTGTAAGAGGGTCCACTGGAAGTGTGTGACTACTCCGCTATCTTGGCCCTGCCTCCTAATCAAGCTCTCTTTCTTGATGGAGTGGGAAGGTAAGTAGACAGAAAGTAGCAGGGAAGATAGAGCCCACAGGATGGTTCAACACTGTCATGGCAAACACGCCCCCACTCTGTTGGCCCTCTGATTGGGCTTAGCCAGGACAGTTCCGGAATTGATGCAATGTCTAGGTCAAGCAGGACCACTCATGCTGACCCCAGCACAGCTGAACCCCCAGGACAGGAAACTGCCTCTGCACTGGAGTCCCGTTTCTTCCCTGAAGTCTTCTTCAAGCCCACAGGGAACTCTACCTTTCTCAAATTGACACTTATTGTCTATAATATAGTAGAGTTCCCTGTGGGCTTGAAGAAGGCTTCAAGGAAGAAATGGGACTCTAGTGCAGAGGCAGTTTCCTATCCTGGGGGTTGAGCTGTGCTGGGGTCAGCATGAGGGGTCCTGCTTGACCTAGACATTGTATCAATTCCGGAACTGTCCTGGCTAAGCCCAATCAGAGGGCCAGCAGAAATGGTGGTGCAGTGGTTAAGTCCCTGTGGGCTTGAAGATGTTGGCAGTTCAAATCCACCAGATACTCCTTGGAAACTCTATAGGGCAGTTCTACTCTGTCCTGTAGGGTTGCTATGAGTTGGAATTGACTCGACAGCAGCGGGTTTTTTGTTGTTGTTTTTTTTTTGGGGGGGAGGTGATCTATACTATTATTGTTTTAATTGTATTAATTTTTGAATAGGTAATATTGTCAGGAGCCAAAATGCAAAAAAAGATATTCAGTGAAAGCTCTTTTTCTTGCTCCTGTCCCTTCCCTGGATAGGTGCTACCTGGATCCAGTGCTGTCTGTTCTTGTTCTGGCTTTAAAATCCCCTGCAGAAAGGAATCGCATCTCATACCTCCTTATCTCCCTCTGTGTTCCTGCTGGGGTGAATTTTTCCACCCCATCACCCAAAGGAGTTTTCCTAGCGCCACCTCTTCCTTCCTCCATCAGCAATGCTGTTATTTTGGGTCAGATCCCAGTCCCCTCTGACCTGGCCATCCAACTGCCAACCAGGTCCGTCTCCCAGATACCCTCCAAAGAGCTATCAGGTTGCTCTTTCTATAATGCTTGGTTCCTGGCTAAGCCTTTATTGCTCCCCATCACCTCAAGTCAAGGGCAAACTCCTTGGTATGATGAACAAGGCCCTAGTGACTTGGCTTCAGCCATCTCTCCAGGCTCAGCTTCTGCTACTCCCATCACCCTTCACACTCCCGCCATACCAAACTACTTGCAGTCCTCTGGTTAGCCATGCTGTCTTCCACCTCTGGGCCTTTGCATGTGCTGTTCCCTCTGAAATGTGCTTTCCTTTCCTGCAGCTCCTGCTCCCAGGTCAGGACTCAGCCCAAGCTTCTCTTCCTGCAGGACCTCTTCACAGGTGCCCTCCCTCCCCCGTTTGCTGAGTTTCCTGCGCCCCCTCTTCCCCAGTACCTGAGGTGCCTCTGTCACACTGCCTTCTCATTGGGTGATCTTTCTGCTTAAAATCTGGCTCTCCCAATCAACTGTATACTGCCTGAGGGCTGGACTTGCACATCTCTATATCCCTACTTCTTGTAGAATACCTGGCATATCACAGGTATTGGAGAAATAGAGGAAGAATGTATAAATCTCTTCTCCCATCTCCTAGACAATGCCTAATATAAAATAGACACTCAGAGAGATTTCAGTTGGTTTGATTTTTGATCATGCTGCTGACTCTGATGTTATGAAACAAACCACCTGTCTCCTCCAGCCCAGAATGAACCCTACTCCCACTGGAGATCATAGCTGCCACATCTTCTCTAGATCCAGGTGACTCCAAACACAGGCTTCTCCACAGCAGGAGTTTGTGTGTTTAAATAACAGCATAAAACAGCTCAACCGGAGTTAATTTAGAGCAAGATATGCTGAGGGGTGATGAGTGTGGCTTTGGCCAAGGACCAGATGCTTCAGGATAATTGCTGGGAAGCTGAGCAGGGACTTATTAATTATAATAGAAATAATTGATACCACTTGTTGATGGTTTGGTATATGCTAGGCACTTTGCCAAGTACTTTATATACATTGTCTGATTTAATCCTCACCACGATCCTGTGAGTTAGGTATTAGTTACCCCCGTTTTATAGATGAGGAAATTGAGGCTTAGAGAGATTAAGTAATTTGCCTAAGGGTTGCACAGCTGCTAATGATAAAAAACTAACACTTTTTGAGAATTCACCATGTGCAGTGACAGCTAAGCCTTTTTCATGACTGATTTTATTGAACTTAATCCTTAAAACAACCCTAGGAGGTAGGTGCTATTACTAGAAGGGGCAGAACTGGGATTTGTGCCCAGGTCTATTGCCACCAATATCTAGCATTTAACCAGTAAACCTTATACGCCCACAGAAAGTTTTGCAAACATTCATCCTCTGACCTGAGGGACCACATGCCTAGGGGGTGGAGGTGCCTATGCCCAGTTCCGCCTGGAAGGTGTTGTCATGAGAGCATAGAATTTTTTTTAAATTCTTTTTTATTAAGTATGAGTTGATAGAGCAAATTCTATGTCACGTGTTTTTTGCCACAATAAAAAAATATTTAATATGAGCAGTTACAGAAGAATATTTATAAGATATGTATAGAGTATATTGGGTCGCTGTGAGTCAAAATTGACTCAACAACAACAACAGGGTATAAAGAATAATAATACCACCAGCAGCCACTACCACCCCTTTAAGAAAAGATATCTTACTTTGAAGTCCCTTTTGTGCCCATCTCTATTCCTGCACCTTTTCCTACCTCT